ACTGTCTTATTCAAGTTGATCCTAAGGAACTCCAAGACCAGAATAGGCTCTTGTACCTTTGGGAGCCTCCAGGCTCCACACCAGAGTTTCCTAACGTCAGCGCTGCCAGGCTTTGGGCCAGACAGTTCTCTGTTAGGGTATGTCCTGGGAAGGGTGTTTAGCAGCATCCTTAGCCTCTACACAGCGGATGCCAAGAGAACCCACTCCCAGTTATGACAACCGAAACTGTTTCCAGTTGTTCTCTGGGGCAAAGGGCCCCTAGTTGAGGATCACTGCTCTTGGGGCTCAGCAAGTATCACACAGAAAACACTCTGAGTTCTAACCGTGTAAGATAAAGAAAGCATTTCAAAATTAAAAAGCAGGCAACGCTATCATTCTTTTGAGCAAGAGGGCTGGATGACAATATTGACATTTCTGAAGTCAAATAATAACCCTTTCAAGAAGCCATTTGATGAGGCTCCCACTGAAATAAGTAATGTACGAATAAAAGTGCCTAGAGTGGGGCTTCCCTGGTGACTCAGGGGTAAAGAGTCCACGTGCCCATGCAGGAGACTCGGCTTCAATGCTTGATCTGGGAGAATCCCACAGGCCACGGAGCCGCTAAGCCTGTGCGCCGTGACTACCGAGCCTGTGCTCTGGAACCCGAGAACTGCGCCTCCCGAGCCCACGTGCCCCTGGAGCCCGCGCCCCACAATGAGAGGAGCCACCGCAGTGAGAAGCCCGCCCCCCAGGACTAGACCGTGGCCCCTGCACTCCGCAACTGGAGAAACCCCGAGCCCCGCAATGAAGACCCAGCACAGCCAAAAATAAACATTTCTTAAAAAAACAGCTAAGAAACCTGATGAGCAGCATTTACTTTAAAAAAAAAAAGTGAACAGAGTAAAAAGATCTTTCACCTGCTTGGACCCATAGGTATCTCTTTCGGTTTGGCCAGCACTTTTGCTCTCCCTCCAAAAGTTTTGGGTCATTCACTTAGAAGTTTTTGTCTTTTAATTCAATCCAATCCTGTCCTATTAAGGCCAAGATCTATTGCCAGATGAATGCTGCCAGATTGGTAACATTCCAAAAGCCCTTTCTAGTTCTAATGAAATTGTACCAGCTTTTAAGAGAATAACTTGCATGCGGCCAAGACAAGAGAAGGACTTTATATTACAGGATCAAAACCATGGGAGAGACGTTTACAACCTACAAACGTCATCAGCAAAGGGGAGTGAGAATGATGGGTAGGGAGAATGAAGCTGTATATCACCAGCATTTCTTAGTGCTTGAAGAGACTTAAACTCCATCATCATTTTCTGGAAGCCTCAATATCATTTAAATAAAATTGCTCATACATAATCAGGGCCAGGAATGTATCTTTGGAAGTTCTAGCTTGCTATTTGGGGTTGTTTACTTTCTGCTTTATAGAATTTTCAGTGATATCTCATGGTCTTAAGCAAACTTGTAATACCAGTGAGTCAAAAGACCTTTTTAGATTCTATGTAGCCTATTATTTGCACCAAAGCAGTGATGCCTGAAAGTGGTATTACCTTGCCACTAAGGTATTTGTATTAAGACAAATTACTAAAATAAAAGATTCTGTACCCAGTTTTGATGGAGGGGGCGTGAGTTTCCCGTGCCAACAAGTCTTTCTTGGATACCGGCCGGGTGTTCTGCAGTTCAGCTCATACTGACACTGTCCTGGAGCCTGCATTGCCGCCCACAGACTGAGACCTCAGCCCTACAAGAGTGCACCTGCCCACCCCACCGCAGATGGCAGGGGAAGGCCCAGGCCACCTGTGTTTCTGCTATACCTGCTCTTTCAGTTCCTTTAATTTGCTAGCGTGGCTCACATAACTCAGAGAAATATTTTGCTCATTAGATTAGCAGTTTAAGCTGAGTGCCGAAGAATTGATGCTTTTGAACTGTGGTGTTGGAGAAGACTCTTGAGAGTCCCTTGGACTGCAAGGAGATCCAACCAGTCCATCCTAAAGGAGATCAGTCCTGGGTGTTCATTGGAAGGACTGATGCTGAAGCTGAAACTCCAATACTTTGGCCACCTCATGCGAAGAGTTGACTCATTGGAAAAGACCCTGATGCTGGGAGGGATTGGGGGCAGGAGGAGTAGGGGACGACAGAGTATGAGATGTTTGGATGGCATCACCGACTCAATGGACATGAGTTTGAGTAAACTCCGGGAGTTGGTGATGGACAGGGAGGCCTGGTGTGTTACAGTCCCGGGGTCTCAAAGAGTCAGACACGACTGAGTGACTGAACTGAACTGAACTGATGAGAGTGTAAAAGCAGCCAGCCAGAAGAGATGAGTATGGCGAAGTATGTGGAGAGGGCTCGGAGACCCCGCTGTCTCCACGGGCACCGGCCCCACATGACCGCCGCATGTTTGCTCACCTGGAGGCGCTCCAGTCCCCTCCCGTTTGGCTTTCTGTGCAGCCCTCATTGCATAGGCATGGTGGGCTTACCACTGGTCACTGGCAGTGAAGTCAGCCTCCACCCACTTCCCCTTTCAGAGGGCAGGAGAAAAGTCCCAGTCCTCCAATCACATGGTTGGTTCCCCTGGCAACCAGCCTGCAACCTTAGGTATGGTCTAAAAGTCACCTCTTTAGCATAACAGAAGACATCTTTATCCCTCTTGAAATGGGATGGAGACCAGATATTATTAATCACAATATCACACAAAGGATGGGGCTGGCATTGAGGTAGAAGGGTCTTCCTGAAAATTCAACCATCTTAGGTACAAAGGAGTAATTTAAAGACTCACAAGCAAGATTAGCTTATGACAAATGTCCAGAAGAACATAGGTAAGTTTTGAAATTTGGGCAGAATGGAGGAAGGCAGACAGATACAGTAATATCTACCTAGCATTCATGTATGTGTGTGGCCAGTTCTACACATAAACACATTTGCATTTAAGTGGTCACTGCAATTATTGTGTACTTTTTCAGTAAGGAAAAGTAAAAGTAAACACAAAATAAATTATTGAGGGATCTTAGAGACTGGATCTATAGAGGAAACTTCCCTAACAAACAAGGTAAAGATACAGAGTGTTACTAAAATTTTCAGACATTTCAGGGAATGATGGTCTCTTGGGTACCAATAATCCAGATACTCCTTTTGTTACCTGTCAGTCAACATGTATGTGCAAGAGACACAGACACTACAAATGGCTAATCTGTACTGAGTCCTTACTATGTGCCAGAAAATTATTTATTCTTTGCAACAATACTCTGAGGCAGGTGCTTTTATTCTCTTCATTTTACACTTCAGGAAATTGAGGCTCAGAGACATGAAGTAACTTGCCCAGGGTCACACAGCAAGGGTTTGCACCTAAGCCTGACAGACACCAGTGCTTGGATGTGATCCACTCTACACCGTGGTGCTTTGTGGGAAGTGAATTGGATGCCTCGGGGCCAAATGAAGGGCCAGACCAGCTAGGCCGTCCCGTGTCGACCTCCGTTCCCCCACCCCAGATGGTCTCTTGGGTACCAATAATCCAGATACTCCTTTTGTTACCTGTCAGTCAACATGTATGTGCAAGAGACACAGACACTACAAATGGCTAATCTGTACTGAGTCCTTACTATGTGCCAGAAAATTATTTATTCTTTGCAACAATACTCTGAGGCAGGTGCTTTTATTCTCTTCATTTTACACTTCAGGAAATTGAGGCTCAGAGACATGAAGTAACTTGCCCAGGGTCACACAGCAAGGGTTTGCACCTAAGCCTGACAGACACCAGTGCTTGGATGTGATCCACTCTACGCCGTGGTGCTTTATGGGAAGTGAATTGGATGCCTCGGGGCCAAATGAAGGGCCAGACCAGCTAGGCCGTCCCGTGTCGACCTCCGTTCCCCCACCCCCGGGTCCCCAGGCCCACAGAGAGATTTCTCAGATGACTTGGCTTTACAGTTTGGAAACTGATGACCGTGGCAGCAGTTAAGTTTACGCCAACTGTCTCGTCACAGAGTGTGTTAGGCGTGGCATTGGGAGGAGTGGGGAGCAAGGTGCCAAGACCAAGTGTGCCTGCGTGCTTCTGCCTTGTGAGAGGGTCTGCCAGCCTCAGTGGTGGAGCTTCCTTAGCAACCCTCGGCCAGTGCAACCAGAACCAGCCCGTCCAACAGGAGCTCTTTTTAAAATTAGCTTATATTGTAGTACAGTCACTTTCCAGTGTCGCATTAGTTTCTGCCGTCCAGCAAAACGCATCAGTCATCCGTGTACATGTGTCCCCTCCTGTCTGACTGTCTCTCCATTCACAACACCACAGTGCGTTGAGCAGAGTTCCGGTACTTCCAGCGGGTTCTCACCGGTCGTCCAGTTCACACAGGGTATCAACCGTGCGTCTGTGTCGGCCCGTCTCCCAGCTCCTCCCAGCTCCTCCCCCTTGGTGTCCCTATGTCTGTTCTCTACACGTGTGTCTCCATTTCTGCTTTGCAGAAAATAAGATCATCTCTATCATTTTTCTAGGTTCCAGTTTTCTCTTTCTGACTTATGATGCTGTATAGATCCATCCATGTCACTATAGATGACCCAATTTTGTTCCTTTTTATGGCTCAGTAGCATTCCATTGAATATATGGACCACATCTTCTTTATCCATTCCTCTGTTGGTGGACATTTAGGCCACTTCCATGTCCTGCCTGTTGTAAATAGTGATGCTGTGAATATTGGGGTATGTGTATCTTTTTGAAGTCTGGTTTCCTTAGTGGGACTGCTGTATCATATGGCAGGTCTAGTTTTAGTTTCTTACGGAATCTGCATGCTGTGTTCCATAGTGGCTATATCAATTTACATTCCCGCCAACATAGCATGAGGGTTCCCTTTTCTCTACACCTTCTCCAGCATTTACTGTTTGTAGATCTTTTAATCATAGCCATTCTGATCTGTGTGAGGTCAACAGGTATTCCGAACCATATTGGAAACAGGGAGGGTAGAGAACTCCCGACCTGGCCCCTTTTTAACCTTCATGGTGTGGCCTGCAGCAACCAATTCATTTTCCTTTTCCAGGCCCCCTCGTTACATATGATACACCTGGATGAGAATAGAATCTCTAAGTCTCCCAGAAATACTTGGAGAGTATTTCACAGAAACACTTCTGTGAAATCTCAAGGACAACACGTTACCAAGAAGGGAGCTGTGCCATGGTAAGTAAAAATTCATGTTTCACTGTCAGTGAATGCCTCTAACACATTCTCCTACAAGCAAGGGAACATGCCAGACCCCCCTTCCCCTTCTCCATTGGACTACACCTTGCACATGGAACCATGTGGGTCCAGAGAGTGAGTTCTCTTAATAAGCCGTGTGTTCGGACAATTTTCATGGTTTTGTTGGCCTTTCTGTTTTATTTCCTGCCACCACCACCACCCCCACCATGTGCATGGCAGTGTGTACAGTGGTTAAAACTTGACATTTGTAACCATGATGAACCATGTTCTAGCTCTTGATTCTGTCACTTACTAATTGTGTGACCTTGGGAGAGATCACATAGTGGCAGTCAGTCCCTAGGTACCAGTTGCTAAGCCTCTAAACCAGAAAGTTAACAACAGCTATCTGCAGATATTAATTCAACATGATTCTGCACATAGCATTTGTTAAGACTTTTCAGTTGAAAATAACAGAAACCGAAATCACACTGGCTTAAAGAAAAAAAGAAGTTTTAGCAAGTCTAAGATCAGTCTTACTTCAAACGTAGTTAGATCCAGGTGCCCAAAGGGTTTCATCAGGATCTTTCTTCTCCAAGTCTGCATTTTCACTCCAGTTCCCAGGCCAGCTCCTCTCAAGGGTGGCCAGAGGCAGCTCCAGGCTTAGTCAACTCTGTGGGAAGAGGGATCTTTTTTTGCCAAGAGTCCCAACTAAGTTCTCAGCCTCGGGTCTCATTTCCATTCCCAAACCACTCACTGTGGTCAGAAGGATGGGGCTTGACAATTGGCCAGGTATGCCATCAGACTTTTAGAAAATTTGGCTTATAAACATCCCAAAGAGAATTTCTGGACTCATGCTATGTGACAGTTCTCTTTGGGCAGAAATGTAAAGGCCTTTTGTTGAAAACCCCTTTGAGAATTTTTATTGCTTACTTCAATACTTTATGAGAGAACCAATTTATTAATTAGAGCTGGGCAGAAAATTTACACTGAATCTTAGTCAAAGATGCTTAACATACCAGTCTTGGTTCATATGCCACTCCTCAGAGCCTAGAGTGGGATTTGCCTTAGTCAAAGCACTTAATCAAGGGCGTGGGAGAAATGATTTTACCAAAGGAATCCCAGGATGAATTTACCAGAAGGGGAAATGGACGCTGGGTAGGCAAAAACAAGCTCAACCTGATGCTTATCATACTCCCTAACACACAGAACTTGATAAATTTTATGTCTCTATAGTCTTCAATAAATATTTTTGAATACCTACAACAGATAAAGGTCAACTTCAAACGTAGTTAGATCCAGGTGCCCAAAGGGTTTCATCAGGATCTTTCTTCTCCAAGTCTGCATTTTCACTCCAGTTCCCAGGCCAGCTCCTCTCAAGGGTGGCCAGAGGCAGCTCCAGGCTTAGTCAACTCTGTGGGAAGAGGGATCTTTTTTTGCCAAGAGTCCCAACTAAGTTCTCAGCCTCGGGTCTCATTTCCATTCCCAAACCACTCACTGTGGTCAGAAGGATGGGGCTTGACAATTGGCCAGGTATGCCATCAGACTTTTAGAAAATTTGGCTTATAAACATCCCAAAGAGAATTTCTGGACTCATGCTATGTGACAGTTCTCTTTGGGCAGAAATGTAAAGGCCTTTTGTTGAAAACCCCTTTGAGAATTTTTATTGCTTACTTCAATACTTTATGAGAGAATCAATTTATTAATTAGAGCTGGGCAGAAAATTTACACTGAATCTTAGTCAAAGATGCTTAACATACCAGTCTTGGTTCATATGCCACTCCTCAGAGCCTAGAGTGGGATTTGCCTTAGTCAAAGCACTTAATCAAGGGCGTGGGAGAAATGATTTTACCAAAGGAATCCCAGGGTGAATTTACCAGAAGGGGAAATGGACGCTGGGTAGGCAAAAACAAGCTCAACCTGATGCTTATCATACTCCCTAACACACAGAACTTGATAAATTTTATGTCTCTACAGTCTTCAATAAATATTTTTGAATACCTACAACAGATAAAGGTCTGTCCAAGTTAGCAGGGAAATAGCAACTGTGTCCTCAAGAAGCTTAGGGTGTAGCAGAGAGAGGAGAACCTACAGAAATTAGACAGGTGATTTTATTTCTGTTGAGCAGTTCATAATAGGAGCAGGAGAGGTTGCTATGGGAACAACAGCAGGGCAGGGGTAACAGTCCTGAGGCGGGAAGAAACTTCCCCAGGGAGGCAGCATCCACACCGAGCCTCCAGAGGAATGGTAGGAGTTAGTGAGATAAAAGAGGCCAGTTCCTCCAGGTCTGGGTCCATTGGCTGCCTGGGCCTACATTTTATCATCTTGTAAAAGACCAGTAAAGATTAGATCTCTTTAGCTCAGCTCAAGGGCTGCTGAAGTCAAAAGAGAGAAAGTGGGCAGCTGACTGAAACATTCTGTTGAAGTTTTGAAAGCCTTAAAGCAGAGCAGAATATTCTTGGTGGGGGTATTCATTTTGGAGACACTATGTGAAAAACATTTCTTAACAAGAGGAAGTCAAACAAAAGTTTGATAACATGTATCCAGGGGAGAGACACAGGAAAACTGATAACTCCCTGAAAATATGAATTTTAAGAACAACATTATAACGGAACAACCAAAATACATCTTATTTTGAATGTTAATAAAATAAGATTTACTTTGGTTATTAAATAAAACAAACATTTAAATAAATAAGCAAGTAAGACATATTTCTAAACAAAAAACATGAGATTTCCTGGATAATGAGTTTAGCCAAGATGCTCACCTATATGGAGGGGACCTGGTGTGGTGTAATCATAAACCCAGGAGCTGGCTCACGGAACAGGTACTTGGGGCAGAGGAAATCCAGGCAGAGCTGGGGAGGGAGCGTGAGGACCTTGCTGGCAAGCTTAAGCCCGGGCAGGTGGAAAGACAGGGAGGGAGGAGGCAATGGCAGGTAGGTCCACACTTCGGTGGATCTTAAGAAGTACAAACTTTAGATGAGTCAAGAGAACTCAAACCGTTGTGCCCCAGCAACCCATGCTTCTGAAAAATCCATGCTTCCAAAATTCTATCACAGGTTATAGAATCCAACTTTTAGTGGCTTATAGAAATTTAAACAAGAAATTTGGACTTTTTCTAAGGATGCTGGATTGTTTCAGATTGCAGAACATGTTGGAAACCAAGCTTTCTGACTCCTAGCTTAGACACTCCATTTCTTATACATTAAAGCAACTAGTATACTACTGACCACGGGGATGTTATAGGGAGGTGGGCCCAAAATCTTGCTTTGCTCTGACCTGTCCTTCTACCTCTTGTAGTTTCTTTTTCTATTTTCACTGTGCCTTGAGTTAGACTTTTCTTTACTTTGAGTCACTGGAGGGAAAATTTTTGTGAGGATAAAACAAACAAGCAAAAAATAATCAAATGAAACTATTTAGGAAAATTCAACGATCCTGCCCTAGAACGAAAGACCCCATGGTATTTGGAGAAGGGATGGAAGTGATCTACTTTAGAAATGCTTAATGTTTTCTGCGATAACAAATGGTCTGTATGCATTACATCTGAATGCCTCTGTAGATTTTGAGAGATGGGGAGGATCTATAAGATAGGGGTTCAGTGTGGAAGCAGCGACATTGTTTTTGATCTTGACAAAAAAACCAACCCAACTGTGGATCCTATAATCTTAGATCTTTAGCTGTTCCACTTCTACTCTTGAGTTCTTTATCCTGATTTTAGAAGAAAAGTTTCAATTTTTCATTGAGTGTATTGTTAGCTTTAGGCTTGTCCTCTGTGACCTTTGTTATGTTGATGTATATTTCTTCTGTATCCAAACTGTTGAGGGTTATTACCATGTAAGGTTGTTGTATTTTGTCAAATGCTTTTTTTACATCTACTGGGATGATCATGTGAATTTTATTTTTCATTCTATTAATGTGGTGCCACAGATTTATTGAGTTGTATATTTTGAACCATCTTTGCATTCCAAGAATAAACCCTACTTGGTCATGGTGTATAATCCTTCTGAAATGTGCTTGAATTCAGTTTGCTATGAGTTTGTTGAATATTTTTACATCTGTATTGATCAGGGGTAATTTTCTTTTCTTGTAATGTCCTCATCTGGCTTTAGTATCAGGGTACTGCTAACCAGGTTATTCTTAACTCAAAGAATAACTTAGCTACTTGAAGAAGTTTCTCTGACTGCTGTCCTTAATGTGTCGCTAGAATAGACCAATTTCAAAAGTAGTAGTAATTACTACTGTCTGTATGCATTCCTCTTAAGTTTTCAGCTCCTCCCATCAAGAGGTGGGGTCTTGTTGGTTTGATCTGGCCAATAGGAGGAAACCACAGTGACATGCGCTCAGGCATGGCCTGCTGAAGGGTGACAGTTCACGTGGAGGAGAACCCAGGTCCCTCAACGTGGTTCAGCTGATCATCATACACGTTAAAGACTCACGTCAAGATTAGCAGAGTCATTGACCCAACGTGAAGCTGACCACTGATTAAGAAGTGAAGCTGAGTGAGTCCAGGAGAGTCATCTAGGTGATCTATAGCAACAATGAATGCTTATTGTTTTAAGTTACTGAATTTTAGGGTACTTTACTACATAGTAATAGTTAACTGATACAGTCACTGCTTTATAGGTCTTATCATTGTCTGAAATTATCTTGTATATTTATTCATCTGTTAGACTCTACCAAGTCGAATGGTCTTCCCAGTTGGTTCAGTGCTAAAGAATCCACCAGCCAACGCAGGAGACATGAGTTCAATCCTTGGGTTGGGAAGATCCCCTGGCAAAAGAAATGACAACCCACTCTAATATTCTTGCTTGGGAAATCCCATGGACATAGGAGCCTGGCGGGCTACAGTCCATGGAGTCTCAAAGAGGTCAGTACAACCTAGCAACTGAGCATGCAGGCACTGCTATAAAGTAAGCTCTTTGTTGGCCCTGGTAACCCAATACCTAAACTAATACATGATAGTCAATAAATATTTGTTACCCGGGAATAAACAGGAGGTAA